ATAACTTGTTCTTGATAATGCTACATCTGATTATCAGATTTTGGTGCATAATATGCAGATACGGATATTACATTGATTAGAAAAATTAAGAATTCATTTTGTTGTAATACTTATGCATACTTCAGTTAATAAGTAACATTTCTTTCAATAAGGTTAATTTGTAATGTTAAAAACAAAGACCTGCCTCTAACTCATAATATCCAAATGTGCAGTGGTCGATATCCTTGGCTTTTATTTATAAAAGTAGGTCTCATATGAGAAAGTTGCCCTGACATGCTCTATATGAGCAAAAAATGTAAACACCTCTTTATTAACAAATTTTACATTTCACCACTTGATCATTTGTCTATGAACAGTCAGTCATCTAATATACAAATATCGATTTTGTTTGCATTTTATGTGCTGGTGTACCGTTCATCCGATTGCGATAAAATTTTGTCAACTTTTTGCTTGCACTTGCGCGAAGAATATACGCATGGTACAATGGGAATGTGTGTATGTCTGTGGCATATAGACAAGCGCTGATGATGATTTTATGCGTTTATGCCGACTCATGCGTCCCTGATCACGAGATCCACGCAACCCGCCGCACCCACAAGTATTAAGCGCGTCTTCGCTGCATATTCTTCCCCGCGATTGTGAAATATCGGCCGGAATTATTACTTGAACGTTATCTTGGACAAGTAAATCAAATATTTCCAAAACAGTGTCATAGCGAATGCATGACCAAACTTGGGGGAGAACGTTTTTAACAATACTATCCTTGACTACCATGTCCAAACAAAGACCCATACTCGCGAGAAAGTCTTTCATCTATTAATTTTTTCCACTTTCAAATTCAAAGGGTCATAACATCAGCAACATTGATCGAGGAATATCAATTTTGGTTAACATCCTCTGTATGGTTTACACGCTAGTGTTTTCACATACTGACGGAGTGCCTAAAACCAATTTTTCAGAATCAAGGACCCACAAAATATGGATTTTGACTATCTATGGATTCGAGAAAGTAATTTACTACGTATACGAGTACGAACAATCCTCTTTTTCGGTATTAGGGATTCGTAAAACTAGTTTCTCTTTAAAAAAATGGCACTTTTCCTGCAGCATTTCCATACTTTATACTATGAAGTACAATATGAGAAAGTAGAAAAGACAATCTCCCCTGATGAAATCCTTGTTGTTTTTTTATTGTAGCAGTCAGTTTGCGAGAAATAAGATAAGCAAATGTGCAAGACCCAGAGTCCATTTATTAATAAAAAATAATATAAATAACATCTCAACACAATAATTAAAAGGTTCCCTACAAAAATGTGTAATAAATTATTAGATAGGACATAGGAAGTAATTGTATAGGGTCGTGATCTTTCGTGGAAGAAAGTGTCTGAGGACAGCTCTAGGAGGGCTGGGGGACGGGGAGGAGAAACATTGCAGCAGGGAGCTCTGAGAGAGACAAGAGCTCCTCAGATAATCAGATTCAAACAAAAACACACGTGACGTTCACAGAGTTGGGTTTTCTCTAAGGCAAATTATACACGCTTTACAAGGGCGCAGGAGTTGACCCGACGGCCTGCGTGCTGAGATGGCCGGCGACCCTCTTTCCCAATAGTCAATTGAACGCAAGGTTATGAGACAGCAAAAGAACCTCATACATGATTGGAGAAATGAAAGAGGTGGCGTTGCTCTCGGATGTACAGGAGAGGGAGCACCGAGATCTCGTAATAGCTAGAATTTGTGAGTGATTATTATTCACTTCTCACTGTTCAGATTCGAGATGCTCACTCTATTCGGATACAGACTGCTTTTCAGTCGAATTCTCATTCTTATTCTTGTTATTACTGTACTGGACACTGATTACGATTATGGCATTGCATTACGTGCCTGACGTTATGTGGACTTCATTATTCAAGTTTAAACTTAGGGGTTTCGACTGTTAAAGTGGCTACAAGTGACGCGTGAGTAACGTCCTGGCGACAACAAAAGGGCAAACGGCTCGTTCTGCCTGCGCTTTCTCTCCCCCCATCTGGTTTGATGAGTGATTCCGGGCGTCATTTGCTAAGGTCATTTGTTCCGACAAGTGTGATGGTGGTGTGTATGTGTGTAAGTAAGCGGTGGGGAGGAAGAGAAAGGAAAAGCGAGGTCCATGGCGCCTTTGTTAGGAAACTGCTCCATTTGCCTACTGTTGATCGGACAAGCCACGGAAAACTACCGAACAGAACCGCCTGCCGCTAGAATTCTCTTCCAAACAGCGGCTGAATTCGACTTAGATGTCTAGATAAAATCGAAAATATTGCCACCATCGGGACTCGAACCCAGGATCTTAGGGACCAAGGCACGCACTCCATCTTCAGCTGGCAGCTGGAGGCACGGACGAAGTGTGGTAAGAGAAATGGAGAAAGCAATAATGGTAACTCGTACAAAAAAAAATTATTTTTTTTGAGAATTGTAATATTAACATTAAAACTAATTGTATAAATAGCAAGTTAACAGGATTAGTTTCATAGAAAATAAGTAAATATATTAAAATAGATGTATGCACATTGCGATTTTCGACCCCATTTTGTATTAGAATTTTTATTAGCATTAAATCTATTACGTTACCAACTAAAAATATCTTTAATTTCGTTTCTATATGTCCGGTCTCAACCTAGTGTGTGTGTTTGGATGACGGTAGATGCAGTATGCCCTGGGATTATTTTTATCATAATTCTGATAATGTCCATGTTTTCGACTGAGTGTAGATGGTAAACGGGCAAGCTATTAACTCGTCGGCGGTCGGCAGTTAGTACAAAACACTTATGTTTATGTATATGTTAAAAATTGTGCATTGGAAATAAATATTTTTTGTATTTTATTTGATAGTACCTAAGTGACAAATGACATGTATCAATCATCGGATTAGTCAACAATCAAAACTTCTCTCACGTCTTGGCAACAATAAAATTCGCTTACATCTTGGCTGTCCGGCATCGAACATATTGTAAAGCGGGGTTACTTTGTGACAGATTGTGCGACTTTTTACATTGTGAATGATCTTGGCTGTCCGGGTTACGCCACGTCCAATTTTGTGTTGCCGACGTTTCGACCATCTTATCGTGGTCTTCCTCAGGGCTGGTCTGCACAGGAGAGGTCAGCACTCAGGTTTATATTGTAACGTCGTGCCAAGGGGCCAGATGGACAACACATGTCGGAAGGCCAGCCGGGGGGCGGGGCAGTCCTTAAGCGGCAAGCGGAAGGCCACCAGAGGTGGGCCCCTCCTCAAGGGCCCGGGTGGGCGTGTCTCGGAACGCGGGTGTCAACTGGACTCCAAAATTGCAAACAGGCCCACGTTTCGGGATGAGAGAACGCCGCCGGCATGTGAGGTCTGTCACGTGACCCCTCGCGAGGTGGCTGGAGGGTAACCAGCCGTGGTCATTCGAGTTTGAACCGAATCGCGGTGCGGAAGGCACATTTCACCCGCCAGGGGTTATCGCGAGCTTCGGCAGCGAGGTGTGGCGGTTGCCACGGGACAAAAGGCCAGGAGCGGCGCCAAGCCGCTGGGGCCTGCATCAGGCTGGGGCGGGGATGCCTCAGAGATGTGCAGTGCTGGGAGTGCAGCGCGTTTCCGAGGAGTATGTATATAGTGTAATAAAACTGTATAAACAACTCCGTGTCTGTGTGTTACTGGCACACAACGACGCCACAATATATGGGTGGGGCCGAGTACGATTGGCTGAAACAGCCGGCCAATCGAAAGGCCGCACTTCAACATAGGCCAACCTTACTTGGAAGCTTCTTAAGGATGGACTTGCAGGAGGATGTCTTTCTTATGTCATATTCACATATGGTATCACGTAAATGTTATACAAAAGCACAACCTTTTCGTCATTAAAGACACTAATAATTAAGATTAACTACCAGTAACACCTGGTTTAATGACTTCGCTCCAGCAAAGTTGTCTAGTTCACGTGAACTGCTTGAAATATTTTAACAAGATCGACTTTTGCGTATACAGTGGCTGGACAACAGCTTCAGGTAACACTCCTTTGTTGGCTTGATTTCAGGCAAGCCGTAGCTTTGTTTACTTCCCCAAGCTCCAGGATGCATCACCCGATTCGAAATACAAAATATTCATCACGTGTCACAAAGTAATCCCTGTAGTCACAAAGTAATCCCTGTAGTCACAAAGTATCCCTTACTTAACGGCTCCATTTCTCCTCGTTCTGCTTGTTCCTTGTTCTTTATCTCCTTGCTTGCACAGAACTAAGCATTTTGCACCATGACTCCAACACAACTGATAACGCGACTTTCTTGACGCAAAATGTCTCTAGAAAGTTTTAATGATATCCAACAGGTAGTCCAAAATACTCAAATTAGTTTGTGAATACGTTACACGAAAATCATACGTTCCTCCAAATCACAAGCTCCATACAAGTTTGAACAAATAGCATATTTTATATAATAATAGCGTACACGTACTAATCACATTAAAATAATTTTAAAACTTTTATTTTGAGAAACTCATGATTAGTATATTTATAAAAGTTCATGGAGTATTATGGATCGCAGATCATCAGAAATTCAGTTACCGAGCTAACGCCATGAAAACCAAGTTGCACAATAAATGTCCACAAATGGTTCAAAAGTCACAGTTTTTCATCATAGTCATTTCATCATGCATTAGTACTTCCTTCTACATTGTTACCACAAACACTGATGGAGTTAACGTCATTCCGCATTTCCCTTAATCCCAAAATTTGGTCTCCTTGAATTTTTTCTAGTTCCTCAATATAAAGAAATGTCCGCCAGAAAGATTTTATTTAAATGAGGTAATTGGGGAACCGTCTATTTTACATGTTTAAGACACCTCTTATAGGGAAGAGATCAGCAAATTAGAGTATTATTAATACAAAAAATAAAATATTTTTTATGCAAAAGTAATTTTAATGTTTGAAACGACTTTTCGAACAAATCTCATAACTTAAAGTTTAGTCTAGTTTTAGAAGCACAGACTCTCCTACCTTGCATTCTCGAATGTAGCAGATGGAGTACTTCCAATAGCTCCAAAGCCCACGCCAACGGCAAGTCCCTCTAAAAAAATAAATGTAAATTAGACACTTATAATACTGTATTGTTTTGTCGACATAACTCAACCAAAAAGGGGGAAATGCCTCTTTTAAAGGCCGCCGAACAATCGAAACTAATGAATTTCAGCAAAACATAGCGCATGGGTACTAAAGTGGTTGCAAGAAATCTACTTCCTTAACTTTCTTTGACGGGCACCCCTACAAGGTTATAGCTATTAACATACCTAGAAATGTTACAAGTGTTATTACTGCAAAAGTCAAAACTTAAAAATCGAGACGGAGCGTAGCGGAGCTGATATTTTTAATTTGGAGGAAGATTACGAGAGAATTGTAACATTTCGTGGTATATATAGTATCGTAGGCTTTCACGGCCGGAGTCAATAGAAGATAGATTTTCCGGGCTGGTAGGTTCTGGGAAAAAGAAGACAACACTCTCCTCACCGAACACAAACGAAATTGCCGCTGGGATACACAGAAAAATCAGCGGTGGCTGAACATGCCCTCTCGGGAAGAGAACATGACATCCTGTTCTCTGACACGGAAGTACTATCCACCACCAACCACTATCACACCAGATTAAAACGGGAAGCTATTGAGATCCGCGACCCTGCCGCCACTGAGGATGTCCACCGCAGACGTGGACGAAACGTTTGGCCCAACAATGCCAACTGGACCACGGCCTACCAGCCCGGAAAATCTATCTTCTATTTTGTGGTATGTGCAGCATTTTATCGGTCACCACAAAAATGTTATGAAATTTTATGTGAATTTATGCGAAAATTTACATTACTGCGAGAGTTAAAAAATTAATTCTGTTGCTGCGGCACGTTACTACGATATTGTGGGGTGTTAGTTACGATATATCTATTTAAACAATATTCGTTTACCGTGGTTCGAGAAGCGATGGATGTAAATAATTCTCCTGAACCTAAAGATATCTAAAAAAAAAAGGACGTTGCCTGAGGAAGTTGGTGCGTCGACTTGTAGTGGCGACACCTTCAGATCGATAGTATAAATGATTACCAGAGAAGAGGTTGATTAGGTGGAAAGCCAAGGAAATGAGGTTAATTTACATAACATACATTTTTTTCATTGTACTATTCAAATGTAAGTTACTTATATTCTGAATCGTTTTAATCTACTTTGTTTTGCACATCGCCATGTTTTTCTTAATGAACATTTGTCTTGCGATGAATAGATGGCTGTTTATTTACGTTGCTAAGGATGTTAAATTTCTTAACATACAGGTAGGTACATGTGCACCTAACAGTCCTGCAAGGTTGCATGTTAACAGGGGTTAAAGGCATGTGACCAATAAAATGTATTACTTTCAATCTATTATTCACAAGACATTTGAAGAAAAAGAGGAAGCTTTTGCTGTTCACTTCTTAAATGCCTTTAAACCCAATCCAATTATAAACCATATGTTATTAATTGGAATGTTGGTGAATATGGTTTATTTATCATAAACCATATGTTTAAAGAGGAAATTTTAAACAGCGAAAAGCAACCTATATACTCCGTGGATGTAATAACAAAATTTATATCCCCTGTAGAACGTAAACACACAATAAACAGACTCAAAAACAGAAAAGTGGCTGGGCACGACCCAATAACTAGTCAAATATTAAAAGAATTACTAAAATCTACAATTGCAGAAATAACAGCAATATTAAATGCAGCTTTAAGACTAGGTTATTACCCAAGCAATTCGAAAAATGCAATAATTATTCCAATAAACATAACTAATAAATGTCCACAACTACTAGACAGTTACAGCCCAATTAGCATATTACCTGCATAAGCTAAAGTGTTTGATTGATTTTAGCTCGGTTAAATAAATTCTTATACGCTACGAACGCCATAGCTGATGCTCCGTTCGGCTTCAGAGCAAATCATTCGACTGATCACCACATTTTAAGAGTTAGGATTTGATTGCGAAGGGTTTTCATGAGAAAAAGTACACAGTATCTCTCTTTTTAGATGTTACAAAAGCGTTCGACCGTTTCTGGCACGTAGGACTGAAATGAAAATTCCGCCATCTAGGCATTCCCAAATGTCTTCACGATATAATTGGAAGTTTCTAACTAAATAGATAATTTAATATTAAAAAACACGACACCATGTCGGATAAATCTCAATTCACAATTTACCTTGCCGATTTTCCGGAATTAATGGATACCGAAATAGCCTTGTTCGCTGATGACACTGCCATCCTCTCAAAACATGAACTGACTATTGCCCTGGAATACCTACAAAATTTGATTTAAATGGACTCATAAATGGATAATCTAGATAAACCCAAACAAATCACAAGCTTAAATTTGCTCGCTTAAAAGATTTATAACGCCTCCAGTTTTAACAATCCGGTTCTCAGGCTAAACAATAACCAACCCGTCAAATACCTAGAACTCAAATTAGATAGGAGATGAACATGGAAGGACCACAGTTGATATTGCTAACAAAACCTATGCAAAAATTGTCAAACTTTACACACTGATAAATAAAAACTCAGCATTACGAGTAGAAAATGGAGTAACATTTATAAATCTATAATTCGCCCGTCGCTCACCTATGCGTACTCAGTATGGGGGGCGCAGCAAAAACGCATATTAATACATTAGAAATCACCCAAAAAAAATCCTAAGACTGGTTACCAAACTCACTGGTTTATTCCTAATGCAAAAATTCAAATGGAATTAAACATTACTTGCATTAGTGTATGTAAGTAAACTATCGAAAAAAAGCCTTGAAGCTTGTCTTGCCTATGCACCATCCAAGATATTGCCACGATTTCCAAAAGATCGCTTACAGCCGCCATGAATTGCTAGTCATAAGGTTATAAACATTATATGTGATTGTAATAACTATATATTTTATTTACAAGTGTGGTATTTTTACTCAATGTTATATTTTTGTATTAAATGTAAATTGGAACTGTATATATATTAAAACATAAGCTCAAGTAAGTGTACTTGTGACCTGATGTAACTGGAAGAGACTGTTACGTTCATGTAATGTATATTTTGTAAATAATAAAAACCTGATGGGCCAACATCTACATCACAATCATCACGACTGACAACAAGGGGATGAACTAGAAGCATTCTGAAACCACTGTGTTGCCATTTTGCGACATGACGCGTCAAACGAAGCGAACCAAATTCGAATTAACATTTCCGAATTTTCCAATTTTCGAAACTACAGTGTGTCGAAAATGGGACAATTGCCGCTATCGTTAGTGCTTTGCTACAAACGATAAAAAAAATTGGAACAGTTTCTAAGAAAATAATTATATAAAATTTAAAAATTGTCCGTTTGACGCAACATTATACACAAAATGCTCATATTTTCAAAAAATTGAACATATCCTTATTTGACGATGTTTCTGTTGAACACATTTCATTAAGGAAAATTATTTTATCTTCATAATTGTAGTTGTGAGAAGAAGCCGAAAAACGTTTGACTCTTTGCAATTATCGAAAAACATGATTCCAACGATAATGAGACCTCTACAATTCTCTTAAGTATCCTTTACGCTATCCGAGGTCAAAATTTAATCAAAAATATACTGCCCTTTTTGAACATTTTGAAAATGTCACAGGAACTTCATATAAAGTATATTAAAATGCATTCCGAGTTCACGGGGCCGCGACATCAACCCGACCGATTAGGGAATATCAATTTTGATGAAAATTCTGCTTACGGTTTAGCCGCTAGCGTTGTTAACAAACGGGCGGGCGGGCGGGCGGGCGGACGTTTAGCCGTCAATCGATTTTTCGGTATCAAGATTCCACAAGCAACGAAGCAAGGGTGAGAAAATAGCTACTGTGCTAAAAAAGTACATACTTGTCGCAAGATCTGACTTTGAAGAAATGTTTGATAAAATTAGTTCACGGGATTAGTCAGTATGAGTTAAAAAACAATTAGTTTTCCCAATGTTTCGAAATATTTAATATCTTCATCAGGGTTAGAGTATAAAGACAAATCAACAATGCATGAGGACAACAACAAATTTAAATAAATTGATTCATTCATTAATTAACACTACACAAACAACAAAAACGTTTATAAACTAAGACAAATTAAACACCAAAATATAGAAGGTACACATCTTACTAATACACATTAAGGCCCATTCTCCTTTCCAGCCACCACACCCAACTCCACATGTAGTTGCTAACGCACCTGTGTTCATCGCGCAACAAGAGTGAATCGGGCCACGGCCCGAACCGCAAATGAAATAATTTTATTCTTCGTCAATGTTTGTGATTTCTACAATGGTCAAGAAATGTTAGATTAACGAAAAATCTCTATCTTCAATATTGTTGTCGGAAGGAAAACAATTAAACTTTTTATAATTTTTCGAAAATTCAGAGCTGAACGAAAATGAAATCACCATTTTAAAGCACCCTTTGCACTAAGCAAGGATACGAGTTTATAAAAATAGTTTAAATCAAAATATCCGCTTCCAATTCGCAAGTAGTCGAGATCACCCAGAACGATAGGAAACTATCAATTTGGGAGAAAATAGAACGGTTTAGGCGTGGCGTTGACAGCGGGACGGGATGGACAAGCAGAAAGGCGGACGGGCGAACGGTCGGATAGACAGCCGAGCGGACAGAGACGGAAGGACGACGGGCAGGCAATCGGAAGGCTTGACAGGCGGGCAGGCAGGCGGACGGACAGGCGGACGAAGGGATGGACAGCCAGCCTATCGTACGGACATTCAGATGTTTTGCCGTCAACCAACTTTTCGGTATCAAGGACCCACAAAATCTAGATTCTGATCAAACAACATATTGTAGGAAAATTGTTATATTTTGTAATAAAATGTTATTTAAAGATTAAACTAATAGATATTAGATTAAAATCTTATTTAAACATTTTTTTTCTAACAATTTAATTACGAAAATAATCATTATCATAAATATTGTACTTTTACAATGCTCCTTTTCTGCAATTTTCAAACCTACTTTGCTTGCCGAAATTGGAATTAGCTCC